GGTCGTGGGTGTGCAAAGCGGGCTAGGCCCGATGGAATGCCATTGGCTTTTTGCCAACGGTCACGTGAAAAGCTAGCGTGTGAAAAATAGGCAAACAAAAGAACTAAAAGAACCCGCCAAGTGGCGGGCAGAGGGAAACGTGGAACAGAAAGTCCCTCCGCCCCGTTGCAGGCCCTCTTCTGATGGGCGTTTTTTTCTTTCTTAAAATGGCATATTCGGTTTTGTTTTTCTTTCCGTTCTTCTTGTTTGCCGTTTGCTGGAATGTACAAAGCATGCAATCGTGGGCAGGTGCGCACACGTTGAAAGGACAAGCCATGCCAATCTGCCAAAAACAATGGAAAAAAACAACATAAAAACAAAAAAAAATTGGTCCCGTTGGAGAGCGGCCATACAGCTCGGCTCCACTACTCACCATATGCACAAAAGACAGAAAATGTGGTGGTGTATTTTTCCATGTTGTAGCAGAAGATTCATTTTCATTTTGCACTTGGTGAGTAGTGGACCCAGGCCCAAAGCCCCCAGAGTCATTGCAGGCGCCCGTTCTGACAGGTGCTGTTTTTTTTTTTTTTCCCGCTGTTTTTTTTTTTGAAAGTAGGATCTTCTTTTTTCGTTTTTTTTTCAGACTTGCTTCGTTTTCGGGGGCAACGTGGGGGGGAATGTAGTCATGTACTAAGCAGCCTATCATGGGAAGATACGGGCGCGTCTGATAGTGCACAGCTCGTTTGCGTTTGCTTTGAAACGAGTGCAGGGCGGGAAAAGAAAACTTAGGGCCTCCGTCCGGCCCTGTCTGGACGCCACATCCAAATCCAGGATCCGGAAACCTGGACCGGATGCCGGACACCGGTCAGTCCGGATCCCTGTCCGGCTGTCCGGATCGTAGCTATGGTACAATGCCTATCTTCTCTACTATTTTCCGTTTTTTTTTCAAACGGTTTTCACCTTTTTGCAGACACAGATGCGGATCCCAGGGTTCGATCCACTGACCTCACCTTACTTTACCTTACCTGTGTACAGTATCAAGTCAACCCTGTGAGTCTTGAACCCGTGACCTGTGTGTTAATAGTTGAAGTTGTCTGTCGTAGTTGTTGTAGTTTTGCATAGGGTCGTTGTTGAAGTCTTGACCCTATGCAGGTGTGACCTTTCTTGAACCTTAGACCTGTCGAAGTAGGGGTCACACCTGCATAGGGTCGTAGTTGTTGTAGTTCTGAAAGGTCAAGGTCGTAGCTGCTACAGTCCTGAAAGGTCAAGGTCGTCGCTGCTACAGTCTTGAAAGGCCAAAACCGCAAACTTCCGGAACGTCCGGAAGTGGCCTGTCCAGTTTCTTCTCATGATTTACACAGCAGACCAGAGGCAAGTGGGCAAGTGGTGAGTCCAACTTCGCTTAGTCAGCAGTACCCAGTCCCAGTCTTACTTTGTACAGTCAGCAAGTACCATGAGGAACTATGTGCATCACGGGCCCGGTGGAAAAAGGCAGACCAACAACTTCCAGAAGTATAAATCAAGAGGCAGCGTCCAGCCATTCATTCATTCGCTGCGTAAGCCATGCGGAAGCACTGCCCCAGCGGCTTGTGCGAGGTGGTCTGCAGGTTGCCTGAAGTTGAAGTGGGCTGAAGAAAGGCAGACTGTCCATAAGCAGTAGTAGCCAGCGGCCATAGCCGCCATAGCTAGTGTTAGGAGTTAGTGTGCGTGTACGAGTGCATGATACAGTGAATGTGTGTGGGGTATTCAGGATGATCCAGAGTTCAGTATGTGCGAACAGTGGTGTTGGACACAGTGACGAGAGTTGGGATGTATAAGCGCTGGTGCGCCATAGCCTGTTGAAGTGAGTTTGCATCCGAACTGTGTTCTCGACTTCCATATCTCTGAGCTCTGAGTGGGCGCTTGGCGCCAGTGTGAGTTGCCATCTGTTTTGCATGTATGCGAAGCAAAGCAGAAAGCAAGTATGATTGCATTGGTATTGGAGCTGGTTTCCGTTACTCCACGCGCCATCGCCGTTGTTGACAATTGGGCGCCATAGCTGAAG